CTCGTTTTTGAGATGAGGAATCTGCTCTCATCAGAGAACATAACACGTGCCCAGTCCCGCCGTTGCCAACGTCGAACTCGCATGGCCCAGATCAGTCTGTTGTTCCGGTGTCGAGGCGTCAGGAGCGGTCCGCGGTAGGGATGACGTGGCCGGATACCATACTGCCGTAGTCTCCTGTAGACGGTCTGTCGACTGATCCTGTGTCCCAGTGCTGTAGCCGCCGTGGACGTCGCTGTTACGGTGCGGTTCCTCAGGTGTAATACCCGAATGTAACGATCTTCACGGGGCGTGGTTACTCGTGGTCTTCCACTCCTGGGCCTGTCTGACGTCTGACCTGTCTGACGTAACCGCTGCATCAACCTGGCGATAGTGATGCGTGCGCAGCCCAACCTTCTGGCGACGTCGACGTGTGTCGCTACTTGTTGGACCATTCCAACGGCTCTCTCTCTCTCGATGGCTGTCAAACGTGGCATATCTTGTGTTCTTTTTGTTGCTGTGATATCAACGTGTCTGATCAGCCGTTTTATACAGTTTTTATGCACGTGCAGAACATGCTAGAGAGGGAAATGTCACTTTCATGAAATTTACGTTTTTTCCCGGAAGTGATCACATGTTCTCGGTATTTTTATCGAATATGCTGTGTTTGGGATGTGCAATACGAATTGGCATGTTTTCATATTAGACAATTCACTTAGTAAAAAACAATTTTGAAAATAAGTTGGTATCGTTTCTTTTGGACACTAGTTTATATTAGATTTTTATATGGAAATATTTGTATATTATATATATTCTGTAAGTAAATAATCTATTAATCGTATATAAAAATAGGATATGTAAATAAATAGTTTGTAAATATAATCTATGGATAAAAAATTGGTACTTTGTGAATAGAGATCTATTTACAATCAGTGTTATATACATGTATGTTCTGTATGATAGTGGAAAAATGTAAATGTTTAAATGTGTACATAAAAAAGTTGGTCATTTAAGAATGTATTTTATTTTTATGTTGAAAATGTTGAAATAAGGACCTTCCGGTTTAATATTTAATTTTTGTTTTTAGGACTGGAGAAACAATCAGGTGTTGGACGTTGTAGAGGCGTTTTGAGGCAAAGGGGTGCAACTCGTATCTAGATAGAGGCTGGGTAATACAATCAAGTGGTAAACGTTGAAGAGGGGTTTTGCTGCAAAGGGGTGCAACTCGTGCCTAGAGACTGGGTAATTTCCTCAAGCGACCAGTGAGCTATACTTTCTATTCACAAAGACATGAATACGTAGACCTTAACATAGTTTCTCTGGTTTTTCCTTATTTCCCGAGTAAATCTTTCGCCTTTTACTAAAGATTTCTCAGGAA